TCTATTGCTGTCATGAGGAAGAGCTATATTTAAAGGTGCAAAACCTGGATATATTGAGGGAACTTTTTTAATGGAAAAATTTTTGGCTAATGTGCACATTTCTATGAATATTTTTGTATTAATACCAATTTTCAGAACATGTCTGAGGAGTAAGAGAAATAAACATGAAGAATCCACAGTCTCCGCTTGCACTTAGAAAGAACTATGTTTTTCTCCAAACACCTATGAGCTTAGTACTCTCTTATTAGACCATTGTCTTGTTTACTAGACTTGGGTGAGTGGAACAGCCAGATACTGTTCTCCCTGGAAGGTATTTGGTCTTACAGCTTTGTACATATTGGTGTGTCTCAGTGTTTGTTATCATGTTCTGAAATGTGGAACTTAGGAGCCAGGTAATCTCCACTGTGATCATTGCATCTTTTTGAAGCTTGGTTTTTTTCTTTGAAATAAAGGAGTGATACTTTGTCATCATTAGGTATCTTCGTGCTCCTGTGAATTTTAAGATTCTCTACAAACTATTTCTTATGTTTGATATTCAGAAGAGGAGATAGCTGCTTTATTTTTATTTTCTGTGTCACTCAAGTTAATGGTCTATGCAGGTGCATGCCACTAGTCTTATTTAGAGATATGTTTCAAGAATATATGAACCAGTATATTAAATTAACTTTATATTCATTAAATTTTTAATTAACATTCCAGCACCACCTGAAAGGAAGACATGGTAATTCATACTATTTTAAACTTTCTTAAGTTATTATTCTTAGCAGCATTCATATTTTGGAGGATAAAGGCTTTTAAGAATATCTGTGCTAGGAACATATCAAAAGGAAAATAATTTCACCTTGTATTAACATGAACAAAGCTTATTAAAGAAAAAGAACAGATTGTAAGAAGGGAATGTTTAGAACGGGAACATTCTGAGAATCTGCATTAATGACTTTGTCTCATCCATGATTTTGGTCACATGCAAAGTGTGGCATCAGCATCCCATGGCTTGGCTGAGGTTTGGTTGAGATTGTACTTCTAATCTGCCCTGCCGATATGAAGCCAAATTCAATACCAGCTTGGAACAGTTCTTAGTAAGTTATTAAATCAGGCCATTTCTGAACCTCCAGTCCTAATCTGGTGTCTTTACTTCGTTACAAACTGCCTGTTCTGTGGCTAAGAATGTGGCTAACACTGTCTTCCTGCCTCACTTTGTTCTCATTGTCCCTGCTATGGCAACTGTCTTCCTCTTTCCTTTGTCATTGTGTCTGTTTCTTTCCTGTCACATTTGCCAATAACATTTTCTTCATGAAGGATTTTTCTGTCTGCACATTGAATTTACTTATGTCACCTGTTCGTGTTTTTTTTTTTTTTTTTTTTTTTTTTTTTTTTGCCTCTGTGAGTTGTATACTTGGTGTCAAGTTGCTTATGCTTTATTAACATTGTCTCTTGAATTGGAGCCATGAGTCTTCCTCATTTCTATATCCCCTTAAAATCATTTCACTTTATGATGATAAAGGATTTAATAAAAAACGAAACAGGCATTCCACTTAAGAATTGTAGGTTAATTTTGCCGGGAGGTGGAAGCACATGCCTTTAATCCTCTCACTTGGGAAGCAGAGTCAGTTGGATGTCTGTGAGTTTGAGACCAGCCTTGTCTACAAGATCTAGTTCCAGGACAGTCTCCAAAGACACAGAGAAATCTTGCCTCGAAAAAACAACAACAACAAAAAATTAAGGTTTATTTAACTATTTTATGTGATGCGTATTTTGTATGTATGTATATATGTGCACCATGTGCATACCTGGTACCCAATGAGGTCAGAAGAAGGCATTGGAGCTCCTGAAACTAAAATTACAAATGGTTGTGAGCCTTCATAGGGGTGCTGGGAAATGGATCCAGATCCCGAAGGCAGGGTATTAATGAGTTCACTAGACCCAAGATAAGTGATAAATGGGTATTTTATTTGGGGAACAACTTATACAGATAATAGTAAAGAACTGCCACTGTGTTCCTGCTCCAGAAAATCCAGTCTCTACCCTTCTGATGCTCCCCGAAACCCAAGCGAGAGTGCCTCCCCCAACTTCCAGTAGTCAGAGCCACACCTGGAATCACGCCCAAAGGGTTGTGGCCACAAATTCACTGGCAAGGCGATATGCTACTACAGTTCCCCTGGAAGAACAACAGTGCTCCTAACTACTGAGCCATCTCTCTAGCCTCAGACATTTTCTTTGGGTGTAATTATTGGTGATCTTTTGAATACTTGGCTGTGATTCTATATGATATAGTAAAGGTTCTCAAAAAAGCACAATGTCAACTGTCATGTAGAGTTTGATAATGAAATAGAAAGATGTTTTCCTTTGATAAGGAGTTTTATATTCACTATAAAATGTATGTTTACAGTGACATGCTTATCCATAAAGTATAATCAGGTGGCAGAGAAGGATGACTAGTCCCTTGGATGTACTGTGATTCCATCAAGCATGGATCTGTAACAAAATTCTTTGAGCAAGTGGCTTTAGGATTCCAAGTGGGAAAATTTTATCAAGAGACTCAAGATAGTGAAACAGAAGATTTACAAGGGCTTGTGAAATAGTAAATTTGTAGGTACCACAACCAATCAAAATGTAGAGTGAGTTGTGAAGTCTAGTCCCAATGGATACATCTACAAAACATTGCCACATTTATGGCTCAGGGAACATTGTAGAAGAGATGGCTGAAAGATTGTAAGAGTTGGAGGACTAGGGAGTTCGCTGTGATGTTTTGTCTCCTTGTAACACCAGAAGCTGTACCCATACATACTCTCCTCATGACCATCAAACAGGAACCAAACAAGGCTGATACTAATGCACACGCCTCAGCCTTCCACAAGAACTATAAGCAAGTGAATAACGCTGGAGTGGAAGAGGAATCCTCCCCAGGGAGGAGCACAATACTCTTGTCTACTGCCAGATGGTCAGCCCTGAGAACATACATACAAGTAACATTGTATGAACTCACCAGGTTATAGTTAGGAAAATATGTATGTATGTATGTATGTATGTATGTATGTATGTATGTATATGTATATATATATATACATATATATGCATATATTCTGATACATATATACATATAGTCACATTGTCACATTTCATGAAAAAAGAGGCTATGAATTTGAAGGAGAATTGGGTGGGGTATATGGGAGGTTTTGGATAGAGGAAACAGAAATGTTGTAACTAAATTAAAATCTAAAAAGTAAACAAAAATAGTAAATTTATATTCACTCACTTTTTCCTTTAACTCTTCTTGCCCCTCTCAGAGGTTTTCAATATGCCTTTTTATCACAAGGTCTTAGCTCTGAACCTATACCCTGAAAAAGTTGTCAAGAAACAACAGATATATGTTGAGTATTGAGACAAGTCACTCCCCCCCCCCCCCCGAGACAGGGTTTCTCAGTGTAGCTTTGGAGCCTATACTGGCTCCAACACACAGAGATCCGCCCGCCTCTGCCTCCTGAGTGCTGGGATTAAAGCGTGCACCACCAATGCCCAGCTACAAGTCACTTCTTGAGACTGGGCTGCAAGCTTTCTCAGGTGCTAGGGTAGCAAGGGGCCCAGTTTGGTGCATAAAATATGGCACCTAAGAATGCAGTAGTGTAAGAACAGCAACAACTTGTAAATTGATGTTCTTGAAAAAGAGTTGAAGACATGCAGCTTTAATTTCAAAATGAGCAAAGGATGTTGTTAATTCTAGGAGGTTTAGGCACTTGAGTCTCTTCATTGCTCTTAATAGCATAAAATCCGTGTTGCTGAAAGCACTGAATGAATGAGTGATGCTCACATATAGATATGCCTATTCACTCTTCAGCAATGAAATGCTTCATAAAACAGCAGATATGCATTTGAACCAGTGTTTCTACTTAGAACTTTCGTGTGTACATCAGCTTTTATTGCTGTGAAAAAATACTACAAGAAATTAGTTTATAGGCAGAAAATTTATTTTGACTAGGGTTCAGAACATCATGGTGGAGCAAAACTGCCCATATCTTCCCAGCCAGAAATGGGGGAAGAGGGAACTGGAAGCAGTGGAGGGAGGGTCCTGGGACAAGGTACGTGTCTCAAGAACACATTTTCAAGGGCATACTTCCTCCAGTTAGTCCTGCTTCCTAGACTTCCATCACTCCCATATTGCCTATCTAATTATGGATTAGTGGATTAACCCATTGATGTGTGATCAGGCTTCTTGAATTGATCTTTCTTATGGAATCCCCAACTCCAGATCTTGTTGCATGGGGGAGCATGCTTTCAACTCATCACCTTGTTTAAGATCCAAGTTTTAACATTATGCTATGGTATGTAGATTTTACATCAAAAGGTTTATGTATTTTGGAAATACTTTCTTAAATATTCAAGAGTGAATATAGATAAATATGTGTAAAATATGTACTTTATGCATACAAACATACATCATATGCATACATATATCACTCAATCATGCTTGCTGTGTGAAGGATGACAGTAAACACAAGAAACCAATAACTATGGGTTGTCTAGGGAGAAGAAGTGGGCAGGGAGTTTGGGAATTTCCAGGGTATGAACTATTTTATTTTCTATTCTTCTCTCCTATTGGAATTATTTTGAACTGTTCTTTATTTTTATGTTATGCAAAATCTAAGAAAGAATATGAACATTTATGTGCATTTTTATTAACATTTTAAACACATGACTTGTTTGAAGCCTTAGCCTATTTGGAAAAGAGATTTTTGCAAATGGTTCATATGAACATTGTAAATTCTGTATGATTGTTTTGTTCGGTAATATGATGACAATGGAAGACTTTAGTAGACACATGCATTAGTGGTATGAGAAATAGGACTGTATTAATGATGAGTGTTTTCTTTAGCCCATTGCCACAAAACCCTGGTTCATGTTAGATGGCCTTGTTAATTGGAGAACGTAGGTGCACTAATGTCAATTTCTAAGGCTGTGTTGGTGAGTAGTATAATTCACAAAGATTTTCTTCACTGTTACAGAAAAGCTCAAGAGGAGAATAAGAAAATTGTCCTAGCTGGCTGTGTTCCCCAAGCCCAGCCTCGTCAGGACTACCTCAAAGGACTGAGCATCATTGGGGTAAGTGTGGACCTGAAGGGTAAATAGAACATTGTGCTCTAACTTATTTTACTTCCCCTCTCTAGTTTCTTATGTCTTTTCTAAACACATTGTCTATATCTTCTCTGAAACTTTGTCCTGTATGTGTGACTTTTCACCTCAACACACACACACACACACACACACACACACACACACACACACACACACCCCACACATCCCATAGTGTATGTTTTCTCACTGAGAAACTGGCATTGTAAAAAGCCACACTATTGAGATTTATGCCTTGTAATGACCTGGTCTTCACCCCCTGTTATTGCTCTCCAAATCATACCCAATTTCCCAACTTGCTGAGCCAGTTGCTGTCCTCCTCAGGATGTCAATGTATGTTTTTCGAAAGCTCTGTTCTGTTATCCTCACCTCTCACTCTCAGCTTCAGTGTTGTGCATGCTGCACAGCTCTCTACTGCTGTGTAGTCCTCCAGGATCCCAGCTCTGGTTGCTTTTGTTCACTGTTTACTGGTTGTTATGTCTGACTTAGTACAGAGTTAGGTTTTCAGATATGATTGTACACTTAAGTGATTTTTTTTTTTTTTACATTCAAAGCCCATTGCTCCAATTTAGCTATTCACACAGGATACTCTTTTTATCCCTTTAGTAACTGTGTGTTTCTCTGCTCACGCACCCATAAATGTACCCACCAAGTGTTTGTTGATTTATTTGACCAAAATATTTCCCTTTTGTAGTTTTATTCTTTTGCTTAACTTTTGGGCAGTCAGGTCCAAGAAGCCCAGAGACTGGTCTGCTTGCCTTAGTTCACAAGATGACACAGTGCAGAGCTTCTTACTTTGTGGGTCATGACCCTATCGGCTCGCAAACAAATGGGATTGGGGTGGTCATGAAAAATTTGGCAATCGTGAAACATGTCTGAATGCCCACTAGCTAAAAATAAGTTCAGGTCACTGTGTTGGTAATCCATAGTGTTCTGGCAGTGTTTCCCCAGGTTGCACCATGTGACCACTGTAGCCGTGGTTCTGAACACATCTGTGCACTTTGTACTGAGGATGCTGTCAGGCCCCACAGTGTCTATGAGCACTCTGCCTGACCTACCTCAGCTCACATTTCAGACTATAACTACTGCCAACCGCAGTGCTTTTCTTATACATACAATGCTTTCTAAACCTCCAGAAAAGTAACTGCTGAATTACAGAAAATAAAGATGCTTGTCATTTTCCGACTGTGATTCTTCAGCATCTATCAAATCAGTATGTCTTTGGACTGTGTTGTCTTAGATAAGGAAGCCCTTCTATGTCATTAGCACACAAATTTGTTTTCATTTGAAATAAATGGTAAAATTATATGTTGACGAAATGTTTTAAAATTTCTCTATTATCAGCAAATGTTTGGTTTATATACCTATTTTATAATGTATATCTTTATCCTCAGGTTCATCTAAATATTTTTTAGGCAGTAATAGGGGAAAATTTTTAAGACGTTTGCCTCAGAGTGTAGTTGGGTTCAGTCAGTATTTACCACATGGTTGCAGTTTTTCCTTCCCACTATTCTACTGAAGATCTGCTCAAGAATCTCACTAATGATCTTGAAAATAAGGCTTTATTTTATATAAGGGCAGGTTGGTGGCTCAGCAGATAATGGTGTTTGCTGTCAATCTTAATGTTCTACGTTCCATTCCCAGAACTTTTAAGATTAAAAGTAGGAGCTCATGTCCAAACTAGCATGCAGCCAGAAACTAAGGAATTGCTTAAGAAATATTGGCTTTCCCATTCTACCCATTGGCTTGTCTGTCAGGCTGTTTAGGAAAAAGATACTCATAACCCCAGATGAATGCCAGGCCAGAACCTCTCATAGTCAGGTGCCCTTCATCTGGCCTCTTAAGGGGCACAGGCATGTCAACTTCTTTTCTAGTCCAACAGGAAAGTTGTCTTTGAGGTGTTCATTGGCTTCTACCAGCTGAGTTGTAGAGTGGACTGCTGATGTCTGTTTGCTTAAGCCTGATTGTTCCACATGGCTCTTTTACTTCAAGCTAATCAAACATTCAGTGTTTTACCTGTATGTAGTGGCCACAGGTGGATGGTAACTGACACAGGGGACCACACAGCTGTGAGAATCTCTGTTGGGAGATGGTAGAATAGCACTTTTCATTCGCTTTAGGTGCCAGCATGTTGGTTTGTTTCCTCTCTGTGTGTTTAGTTATGAATCTAATGGTTGTTTCTGAGAGCAGGGTAAAATAATTTTGTGGGCTCTTTGAAAGTCCCTCATCAGAGTGACTCATTAATGTCATTTATGAATTGTTTGTTCATCAACTTCTTTCTTCCTTGTTGTGAACATGTGGAGTCAGTAAGAGAACATGCTGCATGTTGTCTCACCACCACCCCACCCCCGTATATTTATAATCAAGTGCCCGAAGGGTACAAGATATTGTTTTACTTATTTTATTTGAATTGCATGCTGTTGAATAAGCTTTTGTGTATCTGGGGCTGCAATTTATGGTGCTGAGAATAGCTTTCCTCTTCTTCCAGAGAAAATGCAATCCTTTGTGCACTCTTTAAGGGGACTTTGGATCTGTTTTTGTTCCTGGTGTTTTCTGTGTCCCCTCCCTCCCACTTGCACCGATTTTGGCCTAACTTCTGCCCCTTTTCATGTCTGCCTGTTGTGGTGGTCTCTCCTTCTCTCTGCCTTTTCTCCACTTTATTTTCTCCACTGTCCTCATCACTGAAAATGGACATAATAGTTTCCCCAAATTTCATAATGAGCTTCTTTTCTGCTTCTTTGTAATAGAAATTCTAAGTAAATAGAATGCTTTTCTTATTCTGTTTTAAACACACTTCTTTTTGGTCCTTTGTCCCTTATGGAAGCAAAGCCCCACTGTCTACAGTTGCTTTGAGTTGTGAGGTCCTCACTGTCCTTTAATCTATTTTTTTTTTCCTTAATGACATTCACAGTAGAACATTTGGGTAATTTCATCTTTGTAATGGCTTATTTGAAATAAAATTCATGTGTCACACAGCACATCCAATCACAGTGTGTAGTCCTGTGGTTTGTAGTTTATTCAGGGTGTGTGACCCTTACCACAAACACTGTTGAACACTTTTCAGTCCTGGAAGACACACAGGGCTCTTTAGTGCACCTTCCTATTTTCCCGTGGGCTCATCCACGGGCAGTCACTGACCTGCTGCCTTCTGAAGTTTTCTCTTGTGGACTTTTTATCTAATGGGGTTGTACAGTATGAGAGCCATCCAGATTTCTCACTGTGTGTAATGATGTAGTATACCACTATCCCTTTTATGACTTAATGATTCATTATCACTTGGAGGACATTTGAGTTCACACCCTTTGGCCAAGGTTTTTGTCTGTATAGGTTTTATTTCTCTTGAGTATATTTAGGACTGCTGGATTATATGATAACTGTGTTTAACAGTTAGTCCAAGCAGCAGCAGCAGCAGCAACAGCAGCAGCAGCCTCCAGAAGCAGCAGCATCAGCAGCAGCCTCCAGCAGCAGGTGTCACTGCTTATGTCACAGCTATCAAACGGGCCCCATATGCTGGGACCCTCAGCCCTATGGGGACTAGAGTTACAGCTCTCTGGTGGTTAATGTTAAAATTCTCAGGCCTAGGTCACCTGAGACCCTTCACCTTTAAGACTTGGCAACTCTTTGGAACTTGTTTACTGGTGGGGGCCAGAGCTATTTTGCTCTCACCAACTGTCTGTCTGTTTAGTCTCAGCTCAATGCTCTTTCTTGCCATCTCTCTCTTTTGTCATCTTTCATTCTCTCTCCCTCCTCTGTTCGCTCTGGTTTCTACCTTGGTCACTTTCTGGAATTCTTCAGTTCTGCTCCCATTGCTGTTGTTCTTGCTGCCACCATGGTGCTAGCCACCACCTCTGCCTTTGCCCACATTGCTGCTGCTTTGCCTGGCTTCTTACGTCTTCAATGATGATAAAGATAAAAACAAGCAAAGGACATTGTAGCAGGAAAAATAAAAGACCCAGAGACTGATATTGGGGTTCAAGGTTCAAGCTGAAGATTAGAAAAGCAAAGTACCTGGTCACTAGCTCTCACCTCTACCTCAGACTGAAATGGCTGATTCACAAGCTTTTTACTAAGTCTCAGACTGAATTATCGTGGTGGCTGGAGAATCCTGAGACTTCAATGTCTACCTATCCTCAGTGTGGCTGGAGAATGAATGCCTGATACTGACTACTGAAGACCCTGCTCCTGGAATTTTTTATACCCCTCTAGTTCTGGGATTAAAAGTATGTGATCCCAGGTGCTGAGATCATCTTTATGTGAGCTGTTTTTCTTTAGGACTGGATCAATCTTGTGTACATCTGGGTGGCTTTGGACTCACAGAGATCCTTCTACCTCTTAATCCTGAGTCCTAGGATTAAAGGTGGGTATCACCGCTGCCTAGCTTTTGGCTGCTGGGATTAAAGGTGTGTATCACTGCTACCTGATCTCTATAGTTTGAAGCTGACTTTGCTTTCTGAATTCTCAGGCAAGCTTTAATAAATCATAAATAGTATATCATCACAGGACACGGTGGGAGAAACATTTAATTAAGGCTAATGTATCCAAGAGCTGCACAAATGGGCATCTTCTCACCAACATGACAGGTAGGCTACTTATATATGCTGAAGGCAAGGTGTTTGTACAGTCATCTTCACAAAAAAATGTCAGTGTTGGTACTATTCACAGACCTTCTGCTGGGCTAGTCGGAGAGATTCTAGGTGAAAATGGTTACTATATTTGAATTTTGTGATGATAAGAAGTTTGGCATGAGCTGGTTGAACAGTCATGTCTAGGGCTGAGCCTTCTGCAGCTGCAGTTGTGTTTTGGTGGCAAGCAGATGCGGTTGCTGTGCACTTTTTTCAGGCTTTGATGAATAGTTGGCAGTCCATCTGGCTGGTTGGTTCAGTGCAGCCAGGGTACTAGGGAAGGATCTAAATTGTCAATTAGTGTCTAGTCTTCTATTGTCTTAGCTTAAAGGAAAAACAACATGGGACAGGTACTTTAATAAATGCTTAAAATCATTAACATTAGTTTAAAAGGAGCTAACAATAATTTAACAACACTTAATTCCTGCTTCAGTGTCCAAGAGGTGGATCCTTTTGCCTCAGAACTACCATTCATTGCAAAGTTCTCATGGGCCTATGGCTGTGTTTTCCTTATGGAATTCATAGCTTAGATTCTCAAGTGTGTAACTGATGACCACCACATTACACTGCTCGCCCCCTTCCTTATTCTGTTTGTGTGCTTAAGAGTCAATGCTGGATTCTGTCCAAACCCATTTCTAAGCATGTAGGAAAACAGTCTCATTCTGGCTCTGTCACCAATGTACTTCATACTTTTCTCACTTTATTTGCTATCTGCTGCTCTCAAATGATACCTTGGTTATTCATCCATATACAGTACATAATTTGACTAAGTCCTCTGCTTCTTACCTATGTCCAAGTCCCACACCATCTGAGTCATTGTGTGTATTGTGACTTGAACTTCTTAATGTGTCAAACTCCAGTGGGAATCACCTGCCTGCTGTTTCAGCAGTTGTTTCTATAAGTAGATGCTAGCCCTCACTTCTCTTCACAGGTCCTGAATACTGAGCCCACACTAATTAAAACCTCTTATATTTTCCCTTCT